TGCTCCCCTTAACAAAGTTCTGCCCCCCCCCCCACAAAAATCCTGGCTATGCCCATGAGGAAGATGATTCTGTTCTGTCTTTTAAGCAAGAGAAAAGCAGGACCCTAGAATTTATATCAGGCCTGGCTAATCCAAAGGTCTCATAGTGCTTGCCAATCACAGAGGCTGATGTAGCACAATTCTATTCTTTTCTATTCCTGAATCATAGAAACTGAGCACAGGCAACTGTGGGTAATTCACTACATCAGATTCTAGGAGGTAAACAAGGGAAGGAGGAGAAGCATGGTTCTGGGTTCAAATTCTAGTTGAGCCTTGGAATCAAGTGGACAGCCTCTATCTGTCATGTGGAAAGATAACATTCACCATATAAATGAGAAAAATGAAATCACTTTATATTTTTAGTATGCAGATATATATCCTTCTCAAAATGTACTTGATACATCTTTTCGATCATTAAAAAAAAGTTGATGCTGAGTCTTTCAGTTGTACTTTTGTAAAGAAGGGCCTTTTCAAGTAAAGATAATGTATTCTTTTTCTTGCTGCCCTCCAGAAACAGAAGGCAGTTAATATTCCAGCCCACAAACTGACGGGAGTTTCTTGCAGTAACATTCCATGTGGCACTGTTCTCAACATGGTTTTGCTATTGATGCTTCAGGAGTGCCAAAAACAGGGGGCTATCTGCCATGTAATGTAGCAAAAGGTCGTAACAGAGAAATATTTACTAGATTCCAAACTTTCCTAGTGTTGAGATTGCAAGTCGCAAACTGGAAAGGCGAGGTAAATCCAACAATAAAAAAGAAAAGGCACAGAGTTATAATTCTGGAGAACATTCTTTGAGAGGTCAGTAAGTCTACACAAGGCCCCTTGAGAGATGAGGAGGAGCTGTTCCTCATTGGAAGAGAACGTATGTTGCATCCAAAAGGTTCCAGGTTCAATCTCTGGTATCTCCAGATAGGTCTGGAAAAAGACTCCTGTCTCAAAATGTGGAGAGCTGATGCCATTCAGGTATAGATAATACTGAGCTACATGGGTCAACATTCTGAATAGTATAAAGCAGCTTCTTATATTCCTCTGACACATCTAGCAACCTGGGCAGGAGAGCCATCATATTCCCTTCTAACCTCCTCAGCTTGTAGCCAGAATACATCTCTGTAACTCCTTTTTCCCAGTGTCTGGAAAAAGTCCAGCAATATGTCACAATAAGAAGCGGGACACCTCTGTGCACATACAGACATGTACAATACCCCTGCCATTAGAAGTCAAGCATGTCACTTAACTAGAAATGAAATAAAATTCATCACAAACTGACCACTTTCTTCTTCTTTTTACAAAAATCCAAAATGTAAATACTGGAATTGTTTTGTGGCATGCTGAAGTCTTGATGACAAATGATAAGGCAACAAAATGAAATGTCACCTTACTAAATGCTTTAAAGCCTGACAGTTCTATAGCACTTTCTTGTCAATAAGTTCCACTGAACCCAATGGATGATATTCAACTACCGGTAAGTTTTACTCCAGGTTAGACCCACTACGATTAATAAACATGACTGAGTCCATTGACTTTAATGGGTCTACTCTGAATAAAACTTAGTTGAATACCACCCAATGTGACTTACTTCTGAGAAGACACAAATAGTGTTGCACTTTCAGGCCCATATTTCTAAAACTGCCTAACCAGTAATGTTCCTACCTGAGAATTCTGTAAAAACATAATAAATGGGTATTGCTTCAGGACAGTGATTTAGAATTCAGTAAACATTCCTGAATTAGAAGTGTTTTACATGCTTGCATTCTTTGCCAATGCTGCCAGATTTCGCAGGGAGGTGAAGTTCCATGGTTTCATGCTTTCAAAAGGCAAGAAAAAGGAGCCAGGTGTCAGGATCTGGTCTACACAATACAAGAACAGCCTCCCAAGCCTCTTGTAGCTCTCGTTACTCCCGGCCCCGCATTGTGATACATGAATCACTCCATGACAGGAGGACTGGATTTCTGACTATAGTTCATTTATTTATCTTACACACACACACACACACACACACACACACACACTATTTCTCCCTCTCTAAGTTCTGATAACTTCCTTTGGAGAAAGCTCAGGAAATTACACTCCAGAACTGTATTTATAGCGTAAACCGAACAAAAAAATGCATTTATAAAAACACTTGGTGGGAATCTCTACTTCAGCCCAGTTCATCAGCCAGCAGTGACATACCTCTCAGCTTTTAAAAGCTGTCTTGCTGATGGAGCTAGTGCCTTCTTCACAGAGCGCATAGTTTATCTGTGGAATTCAGTGCCACAAGATTTTGCCACTAACAAGGATGGCTTTAAAAGGGGATTAGACAAATTCAGCAGGTTAGCCACTGCGGGAAACAAGATGCTGTGCTAGACGGGGCTTTAGTCTGACCCAGAGATGCTCTTCTTATGTCAATTAACTGTCTTTGACTTTCTCAGAATAAAGGGTATGTTCATACTAGCGGCTTGAAATGCAGTGAGGTCATCCCCTCTGTTTGCGTTTGAAGCCACATTTGCATGGAGTTGTTCACATCAGAGAGGGCGCAGAGATGTCTTCACCCAACACACACGACCTTTTAGTTTCCACACCCTGTAACCCACCCCAGAACTCCTTATTCTTTAAGTCGTCATCTGCGTACATGTGCTCATCTGCCCCTGCACAATGACTGTCATGGTACGTTCACATTACTGCTTACTCCACATTCAGCTTCCTAATCAGATTGAAGCTTGTTTCAATAAAACACTCACCAAAAAGCAGTATTTGTCAAGAAACTATGGGCTCAATATGGATTGTGGCGAATGTGCAGCTTCAACAGTTAGCAGTGGAAGCACCCTGGATGCAGAGTAAGCGCTAATGTGAAGATACCCAAAGACAGTTCAGCTCTGGCAAACTTCCCCGGAAGAAGCAGCCCACAATATGGAGAGGGAGGAGGAGAGTAGCCAATCCCACTGAAGTGCCTGTGAAGCTAACAACAGGAATCTGCATTTTGAGGAATGGGAAAGAATTCATCTTTCCTCAAATTGCACTATTTCACGCTTTCCTTGTACAGAGAAATAGACAAAAAAGTATGTGATGTGAATTTGGGCAACAAAAGGCCTAGTAGCAAGATTGGCTCTGTCTGTGGATGATATTCCCCCATCTATGAATGAATTGCCAGCTTCCTGACTCTGCACATTTTGTTCTGCTGTAGATTGAAAGGGAACAATCCAAACCCCTTTCTTCAAACCAGGATTGTATTAAATACAGCTGAATTTGAATCAGTGCCAAGTCTCAAATACATGATGTATTTATAAAGGAAAATAATTTATGTGCAAAGAAAGAATTGAATTCTCTCATTAGGGAGTAACTGCAAGCAACAATATTCAGGTTGACTTGATCCCCTGGCATTTAACTATTTTAGAAATTTAAGTAATGCTATGAAATTGCATCTATTCCAAGCAGCAAATCATATGCAAATGGAAAAGGTAAGTTGTTAAATTCACCACCAAATCAAGATGAACCAAGTGTGCTACTGCAGACGACTCCTGAGCCTTTCAACATTCATTGTACAACACCACCATACAGGGCAGGAACCCAGATTGGCAAATTATGTCATATTTTTAAGGAACAATCCTTATTCCACAAAAACCACAGCTCCATAGCACACTGACATGTCCATAAATCTACAACCCATTTTCCATATACTCAACAAAAATACATTAATCTAACCTTCCCGGTTACATTAAAAGGAGCTTTCTCCTGTCCCATGTAAGTTTACTCTACCCAGCTCCTCACAGACTCACTAGATAAAAATCCAGAGTAGAAGAAGCCAAAAAGACCAAAGACCACCCCCTCTTGAATGCCTTTATAAAACCAATACCCCACATAGCTCTGAAGAGTTCACACACACTTACTCCGTATAGCCCCATATAATTGACACCATACAACCCGATCCAAACAAGTTACACTTGTCGTGTAGGAAGGCTGGCAGAAGAAGCTGAGATTCCAGCTTTGTTTGTTGTGTTAGCATCCAAATGCTAGAAACTTCAGCCAGCAATGCAGAGACTTCAGGGCATAATCCTTCAGTGGGAAGTTCTCCTGCATAAGCCCCAGAGAAATTTATTCATTTGCATACATAGTGCTTACAGGGGAGACTGTCTCACTGGATTGTGGCCCTTTTTGGTCAGAGCCACTTCTTGACAGATCCAGTGTTATGGGTTGTTGTTGCTTTTAAACAAGTACTAAAAAAAATCTCTGGAATTTGCTGGCCTTATGATTTATTAAACATTTGCTTACAGCAAAGCTGCTTGTCATGAACAAACTCCCTCTAATCTGCTTATTATTCATTATTAGCATTAAATCGACATTGCCTAGGACTGGAAGAGTTCAATTTAGCAAAGCACTTCCTGACTTGATTTGCCTATCAGACTATAAAAAGTGTAACCAGCTCCAATTTTCTCTTTTTAATTTTTAAATCAACAGCAAAACACAAGAACAAAAATTGTTGAGATGCAGGTAAAATTATCAACCGGCCAACTTCTCTCTATCAGAACTCAACATTCATGTTGAATTTTGAGACTCCCCTTGGACATTCAGCTTCTACACACAAACACACACACACACCATACGAACACCCCACACCCTTAGTTAAAATAGATAAATATGCCCCAGATATTTAAAGCTGGCTCAGCGGAATAGCAAAAAAGAAAAAAAGAGAGAGGAAAAAGTTAGCAACAAACTCAACGCATTTTACCGGGGGAAAAGAAAGAAGGGAAAATGAATGTGAGATAAAGAGTTTTAAAATACCTTCTGGATTTATTTATGTATTAAAATTAGACCATGTTTTTTTGGGGGGGGAGGAGAGATGGAGAAAGTATAAAGTTGCCTGTGCATAAAGCAGAGTGGAGCAACCAGGCAAAATCACTGGTCCCTGAAGGAAATAAATATATACAGATAACTCACGCGAAATTCAACATGTGACAGAGAGAAAAGAGGAGGCACCTTACCTTGGGGTGGGGGGAGTGGAGAGAAGATGTGGGGGGAGGCTCTCTCAGGCTGGCAAGTGGGGGGGCAGGAGAGGCCGGCAGGGACTTGCGAAGTCGCTCTCGAGGGCAGAGCCTGCTACTCCATGGGAACTGCAGCTGCTGCCCCGCTCCTGAGGGCTTCAAGAGGCACCTTAGAGCAAAGGGAGGGAGGAAGGAGGTGAAGAAGAATGAGCGAGGAGGACCGGGCACAGCCAGCCAGCCAGGGCTGCGAATGAGCGCGCGGAGGCAGCTAGCAGCTTTTCACAAGCTCCTTTTTTTTTCTTTTTTTGGACGGGCGAATTCAGCTCAGGAGGGCTGGGTTGGCTGGTTGAATTTTTTTTTTTTTAAGTATCTCTCTCTCCCCCCTCCTTTTCTCTTGAGTGGCTTCCAGCTTCTGAATTGTTTTTCCTTTACACAGACGCAGGAGGCGGGAGTGTGTTATTTAAGCCACCACAAAAAAAAATAAAGTTATCGTCATAATAAGCTTCTCCCCCCCTTTTTTTCTTTTCTTTTTTAAAGCTGAGGAAATAAGCTCTCTTTTCTCCCCACGCTCCAAATGCACACATGCACACACCTTCTCCTTCAAAGCTGTATGATGTTTATTCCAACACGGGCTGCTTCCTTTAGCTGACCAAATGACGTTCTTTAATTTTGTCACCCAAGTGACCAATAAACCTAAAAATCATGCCCCCACCCCAAAAAGGAGGCAAACCTTGATGGAGAAAGGTTTTTTTTTTTAAAGTTGCCTGCCTGCCCTTCTGTAAAGTGTGACAAGCTCGACCAAACCTGTCCTTCTCTCCTTAGTGGCGCCTGGTTTTTCTAGGTTGGGGCAGGGAACCTGTGGCCCTTCAGATGTCTTTGATTCCTTACCCGGCATTGACCATAAGGTACCACAGCAGGTTAGAATAATATAATATAAAGCAAATGTATTTATTCCATTTATATCCAATACCATTCCTCCAAAGAGCTCAATATAACATGCATGGTTCTCCTCCTCATTTTATCCTCACAACAACCCTGTGAAGTAAGGTAGGTTGGCAGACTGTGACTGGCCCAAGATCACCCACTGAGTTTTGTGGTTGAGCAGGGATTTGAACCCTGGACCCCCAGGTCCCAGATCCAGAACTCTTAACCACTACATCACAATGGCTCAAATAAAACCATTACAGCTATTTAAAAAAAACAACAAACAAACAAACACACACATTCCAAATGGAGCAGAACAATATAAATTATATCATATCAAATAAATACAGATGCCCAGAGTTCTTTGGGATAAGCCATGATAGCTTTTCAATGAGTTTTTAAAACTGTAGTTTGGCTGTAACAGCAGTAACTCAGATTCAAGTCACACCTCTGCGAATAACATTTCCTCAGTTCTTAAACAAATATGAACAACAAGAAATAAATGTTACAGGGTAGTGAGGCCAAACACTGGGAAGTACTTTTGAGTTTTCTAAATCACATGTATAATTGCCACTTTATAAATTCTCTCTGCTGTTGTGCCTTTAACAGCAACCCAATATAAATTTAATAAATCCCCCCCCCCAAAAAAACCCACCTTGATCTGCATGCCAGGAAAAGCTTCACCTGACAAATTTCCATATCAAGCTGCTATTAAGGGCAGTTAAAATGTCCTTTCTCTCTCCTCTCCTCTTTTCGCTCCCCTGCTCTTTATGTTGCCACTGTTTTTAACTGGCCCTGTTCCTGTGCTTCTAAAACCAGCTTACATTCAGCAGATGAAGCTTCCCCCAATTAGCTCCGTGCTGCAATAAACTTAGCCTGATAAATTGATGTGTGTAGGATGCTGTTAAAGGTGTAGGAGCGACGCTCCTGGAAAAGGTGACAAATGACTATATTCCCAACCCACACAGTTTTTCTCCTCCTCTTTCAAACTGAAATTGTAAGTTCGTGGAGCAGGGGACTATCTTTTTTGCTTACGTAAAAAAAGACATGCTCCTGCCTCCTCAAGCTTACATTTGCTCAGCAGAGTGCCATGCACATTGATGGTTATAAAATACAACCATATAAAATATCACATATAGATCACATTTGGATAGCATTTATTTCCTGAAATTTTTCCAGTTGTGTACAGCTTTCAGAAGCGAGACTGCCTTTTTGGATGCAGAGTTAGAACAGAAGTGGAATGTTCCGGATATTCCCATCATCACCTTGATCCCTTTTCTGCCTCTAGTAGCCTCAGCTCATTTATCTTCAGCAAGAGGGGCCTGGCCCTCTGTTTTAGTTGGCCACTATATTAACGTATTATTTTTGTGTATGAATTAACCGAGATGTCTTGTTGACAGGTGTTCCCTGCAAGGCTCATCCATCCATCCTCCCCAGGCCCCTGTTACGTTTGGACAGATTGGGCCTCACTCCTCCTGCAGGATCAACAAAAAGAGTCATGACTGAGCTCCAGGAAACTATGAATGAATGAAGGTGCCAGGGATAGCATTCAAGGATCAGTTGTCAAGAAACAGTGTGCAGTGGGATCATCTAGCACTCCATACACCTCAATCTTGTCTCCCTTTCCACCTTCACAGACAGATGTTGATCCAACCCATCTGTTGCTCACATATACTTATTTAAAAGAAAGGGGAGAAGATGAAAGTACAGATTTACACAACACACGAGTATTTTTTTAAAAACTACCCAAGTAAATATGAATGCAGATAACTCACAATTTATATACTTTTAACTTGTGTGATTTCAACTTTATGCAGCTGAAGGCTGGCTGGTTGAAATCACACAAATTAAATGCACGGAAGGAGGAGAGCTTAAAAGTTCTTTTTATGCAGGGTCATCCCAGTGTGGAAAGAGCTTTAAAGCTCTCAGGCTTGCTTACTGGGCTCTGAGGGAGATCATGTGACAGTCTCTCGGAGCTCAGTAAGACCCATTAGGTGTGCTGGCTCCATAAGGTAAAATTGTTTGTGTGGGGGCAGTTCCAAAGGGGTGGCTACCTCCCCATGTAAATTTTAGTTTTATACAGTACACTAGTTTCTATACACACTCACACACACCTGTCTGTCCTCCATCCTAATAGGCCAGAGGCATTATCAGAGTTTGAGAACACATTCTAGCCAGGATACACGTGGCCCCCAGGCAGTCTCTCATTCAGGCAAGTTTGGGGTTGGTCAGTGCCTTCAGTCCATACCCTGGAACATTCTCTTAGTTAACCTGGAATTTGGGGGAAGTGAGATGTAAAGGCAAGCTCTTACCATCAGAAAGTTCTCCTTCATGTTTACCTGGAATCTCCTTTATTGTTTTTTTGAATCCATTGATTCAACTCCTACCCTCTAGGAGCAGCAGAAAAAAAGCTTGCTCCATCATCCATGTGACAGCTTTTCAAATATTTGAAGATGGCTATCATAATTCCTCTTAGTCTCCTCTTATCCAAGCTAAACACACCCAACTCCCTCAACAGTTCTTCATAAGGCTTGCTTTCCAAACCCTTGATCATCTTTGTTGCCCTCCTCTGCACACATTCCAGCTTGTCAATATCCTTAATAGACTGTGGTGCTCAGAACTGGACACAGGACTCCAGGTGCGGCCTGACCAAGGCAGAATAAAATCCTACTCAGGGCCCATGAGGAAACTGCTGTCGCTGCTTTGCGCCACTTCAAGTGGTGAAATGGGATGTGCTGGCTCTGGCATTACTATTACTTCCTTTGATCTGGACATTATACTTCTGTTGATACAACCTAGAGTTGTATTAGCTTCTTTTGCTGCTACATCACAGTGTTGACTCCTGCTAAGCTACATTTAGGTTCCAAGCACTGCAAGTAAATAAACACAGTTAAGGAACATCAGCAAGACCCCCAGAGACTATGGTACCATCTTAGCCCAGAGGACCATGATGGCAAGCAGAGCCCCAGGAATAAGCCTCAAATTCAGCCAGAGTTTGTACTTTTCAGAGGCCCTGGACACAAACTGTGAAACTTTATTATGATACAGTCCTCTAGTGTAGGAAACCGCAGAGTGGATGCAATACAAGCAGAGTTGCTTGGCAACAAAGGCACCCTTAATATGTGAAAATGAAACCATAACACACACAAAAGGCACACAGACAATTGTTGGCATGTATGTAGGAGAAATGTAATAAGAGGAAAGTTAACAGCCTGGAGCAGCTAAATTGTACACACAAAGAAGTAATGGTATGGATCAGGTGTTAGAAGTGTCCCTGTGGCATACCTTGTAGCACAGTGATGGCGCCACCATCCATAGGTTGACACTGCTGCATCTTAGCATTGCAACTAGAAGCTAAAATGGACAAGCAGGAGCCAGCCAGGCCATAGCATGGATGTAAAGCATCTGCTTTCAATGCAGAATCATAAAATCACAGCATTGTAGGGTTGGAAGGGACACCAAGGGTCATAGAGTCCAACCCCTTGCAATACAGGAACGAAGGTCCCAGGTTCAGTTTCCAGCATCTCCATTTTTTGTTTGCTTGTAAGTCGCTTGGGTTACCTTGGGCAAGAAAAAGCGGCTAACAAATTTATTGAATAATAATAATGTAGAACTGGAACAGCAGTGGCTGGTCCATTAAGGCAAATGCGCCACTGCCCCACCAACCGCAGGCTGCCATCAGTCAGCCCCTGCCTGCCTTCTTACTTGCAACTGATCCAGGGGCTGTCACTGCCTCACTTCCTTCTCCTCCATCTCAGTGTTGTCCCTTGTAGAACTAAGCAGGAAGAAGGATGGGTGAAACAGTAAAATAACTTAGCTCTGGCTATCATCAGCTCTGGTTCCACCTACCGCTGGCCTCCCTGCCTTCTGACCCTTGCTCTCGGTTCCCACTGGGCTGGGAGAGACTTGTCTGAAACCCTGGAGAGCAGCTGCCAGTCAATGAAGGCAAAAATGAGCTGAATTGACCAATGGTCTGACTCAGTATAAATCAACTTCCTATCTTGCTATGATGTAATATGTTGGACGGCTATACCATTTCATACCTTACACAGGGAGCAGGGAAGACTGGACCGATAAATTCTCATCAGAAAACATGTTCCCTTCCATGTGTCATGACAGTTGCATGTGTGTAGGAAAGGTGAATAGGATATTGGATGGGTCAACATTCAAACATTTGATCCCTCCCCATCTGGCAGGTTGAACTTGTACAGCTCACTGACAGGTAAATCACACATAGCTTCTGTTCATTTGCTTGAGCTTCCAGTCAGTGACACAGAAGCTGAATTGTTAAATCACCTTCTTAATGATGCACATCTGTCAATTGCCCAA